TCTAAGTTCATTTTGACAAAGTCAATATTTCCCTATATAAACATCAACCGCACTGATGATGATTCATTCGGAATCGAAATATTTCCTTTTTGCAGCATGAATTCGGAAAATAAGTTTATTTTGAATATATATATAACATATTCAACGAAATTTGTATAAATGAAAACCTCGTTCCTATATATATATATATATATATATATATATATATATATAAGTGCGTGTGTGCGCGTGTGTGTAGTAGAGTGAAAGAGAGTGCGTGTGTTGATCTGTGTTGTGGTGGTTTTCGTGTGTTGTCGAGTAATTTTTTTGAATGCCCAAAATGCAAGTTACAATTTTTGGTACAAAGATGTGTTTGAAAATGTTTCACATATGACTCAGTAATAAATAGCGAATGATACCGGCGATCCCCATCACCATCTGCTGTCCGCCAGCCAGGGCGGCAATAGCTAAGTACAAAAAGCCTCCATCTTTTTTATCTTTTGTCATTTTCTGGCTTTTGAGATGTTTGTGTTTTTTCTTTTTTATGTTGTCAGTCCAAGTTTTTTTGGAATGACCTCTTCTTGCCTTACCCTCTACATGGTTGAATAAGGCCCTATATGGTAAAATCTCTAAGTTCATACTGTTTACATGTCCAAACCAAGTTAATTTTCGTTTCCTAATTCTTTCTATTATGCTGCTCTTTTCACCAAGTTTTTTTCTGATGTCGTTTCTTTTTTTAAAATTCTATTTACTCCCATGATCGGTCTCTGATAATTCATTTCCGCTGCTTCGGCGATGACTTATATACCTCTATAAAGATGAAGTGAACAAAAAATACAAAAAGGGTAAAAAGAAAGGAAAAAAATTACACAAGGAAATATGAAAGACAATAAATGAAATAAGCCAAAACGTGATAGTTGCTTTGGATAAATTGTATCATCTGATACAATCTCATTTTCTACTTGCTATTCTATATTGCATTTTTTTTTTAATTTTTTTTTAAATCACGGCTTCGTATATTTAACCTTCAAATTTCATAAATTCGGTCATTTACACTTGGAATTTATACCAGTGCAATGGTTTATATTAATAAATAAATAAATTTTACAACGTTTTTCTATTTTCATTTCGTGAAAATACAAATTAGAAAATATTATTATCACACAAGGTTGGAAGCATTTAAAAATTGACATACCTCGCAACAATTCCAACATCACAAGCACATTATATTAATATATAAATATATATAGGGCCTGTGTTATTGCTACGTAGGGGGTAATGTTAATGTAATTTCGAGCAAAATAACCAAAATCACAACCTAAATAACATGTTACCACATTAAATTGATATTTTAATTATGATGAACGTTTTTCGGATTAAATTATAGTTTAAAGATTAACAGATACACAGACATTAAACTCTTTTTACGTTTAATAAAGGGAATATGTAAGATATGAACTCTTGGACAAAAACGCAAATTAAATAAAAATAATTGTTGGTTCCAACTATAGTTATAACGAGAACATTTTCAACGTCGAAACAATTTGAAACTAATGTAGTGTCAATGAGAATAATAAGAACTTGCTCGCGAGTCTTAACAACAATTAGACTATCGACAGTGTCCGTCACCGCCTGGTTTGTCATTCGATTGCAATATGGGGTCAAAATTTAAAATGATTTATTAAATCTGGATCTTTTCTGGATTATTTCACAAGAGTTTTTAACAAGTTTTCAGTGATCTTGAAACAAATTTCTGCTTCCGCCAACCACATAATTATAACAGGTGGTTTTATCCATATATGATAATTAGAATAACATTCACTCCAAACGTTTTTTTTTTAAATTTCCTCGATTCAAATTTTGGACTTGATCAGAATTTCGTTTTAGTGTTCTTGTTCTTAATGGTTACGTTTCATCAACACTACTCTCTGATAACGTAGATCTTGAATAAATACAAAATTTTAGTTCGTAGGAGAACTGATGAAAAGCAGTTCACATCATTGCTGGAATGTTGTTGATTTAAACATATGAGTAATATCAGAAAGCCTGACCATAGGTGAATAAAGTGATTATAAAATATGAAACATTTTTTTGGCTAAAAAGAAATTCATCAATGAAATTCATAATCTAGATAGTAGAAGTAAAATATTTATAAAGACTTTGGATAGACATAACTATAGATAGCTAATTAACGCAAAAAATGCTGAGAATTTAAAAAAAATGATATTCGTAGTCTAACTCTTAATATTGTATATATATTTGTATATATATATATACATATATATATATATAGATGTATGTAATATACATATATATATATATATCCATTTTTACTATATATATATATTTTTTTTACTATATATTTATTTATATATATATATATCTTTTTACAATATTCTATAAATTCTACGAAATGTTTGGCGTTAATATGTTTGTAGTTGTATGTTAACGCCAAACATTCGGTAGAATTTATAGAATATTTTAAAAATTATGGTCTATTACCATACTTTAGCATTATTAAGACTGCTTGCTTGATTTGATTTTAATTTATATATATATATATATATATATATATATATATATATATATATATATATATAATATTCTATATATATATATATATATATATATTTAGCATATTAATGCTAAAGTCTACGTTTGATCAACTGGTCAGTTTAATTTGCATACAAAATTATTGATCCTCTAGTTCATGTTAATGAGATATGCAGAATACAATATAATATTCCTATTTGTTATATAATAAAATTTGTTTGCATAATATTTATTAATAATTTTCTATGGTCTAGTGGAAACATGTACATTTACTTGCACGCATAAATACTGATACATATATATATTTATTTTCATAAGTAAATACAATTATATATATAAATATATATATTTATATAACCTTTGTTTATATATATGACTAATAACATAATTTTGATATAATAGACAATAATATGTTTGTGTGATGTTCATTACCAATGATTCAAACTTCAAAAGGGCAATATTAAAATTTTCAATAATATTAATACCTAGTTTGCGATTAGTCGAGCCCTCATTTAAATGGCCTGCCTTCTCGTATTTAAATAACATTTAGTTAGAGATAAACATGTCTGGACTTGGGTATAAAAATAAATAAAACTATTAAATGCCGACCTGTGGGTTTTTTAATAATTTTAATTTTTAGTACAGATTCTAACGAAATTTGTTATCATTATCAAATTTTTGTTACAAGTTTTATCAGAAAATTAAGCTAAGATAGAAATAGAGATTGTTAGTTAAAGAAGAGATTGCTATGAACTTTGTAAATTAATTAATTTAATTATTAATTTCCAAATTTAAAAATTTTAAATGTCTAAAGTTTAATTAATAAAAATATCAACAATTAATATAAAATTAATTCTGGTTAGTATTTTCTAACTTTTGTTTTATATTAGTATTTTTTATTTTTAGTCAGAGTTTTACTTATTTAATATTTTATTTAATAATATTATATTATACTAGTATATTTTTCAAAAATAATTTTTGTTTTATTGTTGGAATTTGCTTAAAATTTTGTGTAAACATGACGTTATTAAACAAAACATAAATCTAACTAACAACATAAACAAATATTCTATTTTAAACTGAAAAAAATTGAAAACAGATTTATCTATCCATAAAATAAAAATTAATTTAAGATTAAACACACACTCATCAGAGTACATATGAATAGCCATCAGCATTAAAATAATTCAATTAGATTCATGAAATAAAAATTTTTATTAAGATGTTTTAATAATTTTAATTCAAGTAATTCACCTTGATTGTTTTCCTCTTCCCCTCTCACATTTTCTTTCCTTTCTGTCTCTCTCTCCCTTTTCCTCTCTCTCTTTTTGTCTCTCTCTCTTTTTGTCTCTCTCTATATATACATAATATATATATATATATTTTATATATATATATATATATATATATTATGTATATATATATATATATATATATAAAATATATATATATATATTATGTATAT